TTCGTTTGTACTTTGCTTTGGTCTGCTTTTATAAAATTACAAAGGCTTCAAAAGGCGGATAATGGTGATGTCTTCTTCCTCGTCCAGTCCGCCGACAGGATTCCACTGGTCTCTGCTCGGCCGCGATGGCGTTTAAAGGCCTTCACCTTAACGTACCCAATAGGTAATTGCATTGTCATAGACGCTTACATTCTTGTCCGTAGGAACCAATCTCACCTTGTTTCAATCCATTTACAGTCGTGTTACGTTTCCTTTCGAGCTAGCATGTGTATTAAGTATTCAGCTTACTGATACCGTTTACTCCCTCAATTTAAGTACCAGTACAATTACACAAATTTTGTACAACGTGGTAATATAATGAATAAATCAATAGTCACAATCGCTAACAAGTTTAGATTACATCATAACTTTTCACCTTTTAAAAAGCAGGAAAAATAACGAAAAGTCACGTAAACAGTACGGTACTACATTTATAACACTTCGTCAAGATAATTTATGAAAACCCCATTTAGACGCGGGAAAAGAACGTCTATAATAAACCATTTTGAACATAATTACGATTAATCAGTACCAAACAAAAAAGGTCCAACACGAGAAACGTCGCGATTGTTTAGTTGTCCACAAGGAGTGTCTTGTTGCTCAACAGATACCCAGACTCCTCACCCACATAAATTCTTAGGTCAGGAGTCTATAGTTCGCTAGTTGTAGAGACCGGAGAAACTCCTTGTTCTAATCTGCTGTACTCTGCAGGTCTCTGGTTTTATCGGGCCCGGTGCCTCTTCCCAAAACCCTGTCCTAAATCAACCTTTAAACGCACTTAGCACTCTCCGACACAGTCTCTGTCAAAACGTCATCCGGTATAACTCTAAAACATTCTACAGCTAATTACGCTCCGCGAACTTGAATGATGGACGGATCAAATTCTGATAACGTTAGAGAAACGTGGGGTTTGTCAGAGCCGAACAAAGTGTGTTGCTGTTGCTTAGCAACAGGCCAAAGGCGACGGAAGCCCCAGACGTCCAAAAGTATTAACACAGAAGGGGCGAAAGCGTGAAAGCGCAGTCACAAAATGATGTTGTTACGTATCATCGCTCATTTTTAAGAGGGCATACGGAAATCACTGGCATTTTCTAGTGGGTATACGGCGTATACCAGCGTATCACGTAGACTACACCACTGCACAGGACTACATAAACAGATGCTAAGTGGCAGGTCAACAACTTAAAGTCCTAGACTGGCTCAGCACACAGCTAGAAATAGATACACCAAATAAACAAACAGACACAAATATTTGACAAGTTTTACTCCACTTAGCCAGTAATTCAGAGAACCATGTATGCAAAACTGCTTATTAGCATTTGTTGGGATTTCTGTCAACTCGGTCATGGATTTTAATTTCCCGTATGTCTCTATTGGTGTGAAAACCCTAAACCAATTCCTGTGTCTGAAGTGCGCTAAACTCTTTACACTTTCATTGTAGAGTCAGTTATTATAGACCCCTAGTTATGACTTGATGGTTATTAATGGCCCTATTAATATAAATCATCATTAATATTGGTTAATTACTGCTCATACCAGAACCCCAACATATGCTATTAAGCAATTCAAACAAGCCATTCACAATGAATACACCACTGATTAAAGCACAGGTAAAATACTAATAGAAAACCAGTCAGAAGAGTATCAGTGCAGTGAGTGACTTGAGAGGAAAGCAATCTTAAGGCATTCACAAACTGGCCTTTTTTAGCCTAGCTCGTTATGGCCAATGTATGCAATGGTCTGTTTGGCCAGTTTGACCAATGGAAAGGCTCTTTGTGGGTAACGCTGAAAACCACAGATGAATAATGTATTTTTTCCGGCTGAAAGGACCTAAAATGACCTGTTCTAGCTTCTTGTGTTCTGCCTGATGTGATAGTGAACTGAATATATAAACATCCATCAATAGGAAGACAACTTGTTGGACATGAAGACAATGTGATGCTCTTCTCCGGAGCAGCAATACTAACATATTCGTATACACTTTTGAAAGATTACAAAACTAGCAGCTCTAACATGTTTTCACTGAAGAAAAGCACAACGCTCTAGGAGAAAGTGCTCAGCCCTATAATGTTCAAATGTCTTGTTTGCTTTGCTGTTGATTGATTGCATGAATAAAAGACATTTTCAGAACCCCATGTCGTGTCTGGCTGTACTGTTCTCTAGTGTTTTAACACCTGTGTGAAGGGGAACGGTTAATTTAAACTATCACATCCTCCCTCAGTACATGTACTGTGCTCCGAGTGTACAGAGAGTTACAGCCCTGACTTTCCAAATGTGTCTCTTGGCACCAGATACAATCGATTGGTTTTGGAACTTCCTGGCAAAAAGCTGGGGGCAGCAGACTGACCTGCAGAGGTGGGAAGTAGTGGAGCACAAATACTTTGTTACTGTACTTAAGTACATTTTTCTGCTATCAGTACTTTACTCCACTACTTATTACTTTGACTTCTTACATTTTGAACTCAAATACCTGTACTTTCTACTTCTTACATGTTGAACTCAAATACCTGTACTTTCTACTTCTTACATGTTGAACACAAATACCTGTACTTTCTACTTCTCACATTTTCCAAACAGGCTGGTTCCTTTAGTTTGAATGTGTGTTTGTGTGTCAATGGAAACGTTGTCATGTTGCCGTTGTTCAGCATGGAAACATTCATTAGCTAACAATTACATTATTGTTCTATTAATATAAAGGGAGGTCAGGTACTCTTTAAAACAGCTGCTAGTTATGGGTACTTTTTACTGAAGTACATTTCAAAGCCTCTTTACTTTTACTTGAGTAAAGAAGTTTAGTCAGTACTTCTACTTTCAGCAGAGTATTTTAAAACACTCTGTACTTCTGCTTGATTAAAGGATGTGTGTACTCTTGCCCCCTCTCCTCACCTGATGTAGTCGTTCTTGCAGAGGATCATGCCCCCCTTGCTGTAGCAGGTGCTGCTGTACTCCCCCAGCTGAGCGTGGCAGCAGGAGCACTTCAGGCAGCGTGTGTGCCAGTATCGCTCCATGGAGAAGAGCAGGAAGCGGTCCACGATGCGTCCTCCACATCCTGCACACATCCTCCCCACCGCCCCCCCGCCTCCGCCCATCACTGCCACTGTGGGCGCCTCCACCCTGCTGTTAACCATAAAGACCTGAGGACAGGAAATGGGACGAATTCAATGGAAACGGTTAAAATATGTGGCATTGAGAAATGAAAAGCTACAAAAGAAGTGTCTCTATCTACAATATTCCTGATAAAAAATGGGTGTGTTGGTACAGAGAAACGTCTAAGGAGTTTAATACTTGTATACACTTTTGAAAGATTACCCTATTGACTTATCTGCAGCACTAACTACAAAACTAGCAGTCCTAAACACGTTTTCACTGAAGAAAAGCACACAAATCTAGGAGAAAGTACTCAGCCCTACAGTGTTCAAACGTCTTGTTTGCTTGTCTGTTTGTTTGTTAATTGATTGCATGAATAAAAGACATGTTCAGTGTCTGGCAGTACTGTTCTCTCGTGTTTTAACACCTGTGTGAAGGGGAACGGTTAATTTAAACCATCACATCCTCCTCCCTCAGTACATGTACTGTGCTCCGAGTGTACAGAGAGTTACAGCCCTGACTTTCCAAATGTGTCTCTTGGCACCAGATACAATCGATAGGTTTTGGAACTTCCTGGCAAAAAGCTGGGGGCTATTTACTTGTGGGGATAAGGGAATGTGAAACCCTAAAAAGAAAACACACACACACAGACAAGCATACTCCCATCAGAGAGCTGGCGTCATATGCCAAACTAGTTCAAAGTAGTGTCCAACTCAAAAAGAAACCCACAAACTTTCTGGGCCTAGAAATACGTCTAGCTTTAACTTGATAATACGTCCCAAGAGGAGGCTCTTTGAAGCGGCAGCATGGCGGCGCAGTGACAGTATGCAGAGACCTCTGGAAGTCTACTTTATTTGATTCAGCTGCTCATTCCTCCATCATCTCTCCAACGTCACGGAAAGGAAAACTAATTGTTAAAGAGTTTAAAAAACGAACAGGGATTTTAAAAAGAGAGTAGTTACTGTAACTGTTGGGGAAACAGTGTTGCTCAGACGCCATAGGGCAACACGTATTGTATTTCTCCCTTCTTCATTTTTCCATGACAAAACTGAACTGATTTCATGCACAGCTGGGAATAATATCGAGTACAACCATACAGTGTGTGCTGCTCAGCAATGAGTCAGCACACTGCCTCTTCAGCCGCTTCTATGATTTATAATTAGCGCCAACAACAACATAAAATAATTGCAGTGCTAGATTTCATTTTCCAAATGAGCAACAGCAGCACAATTTGTCCTCTAAAGAGTCTCATTTCACCAAGGGCATGTTTAGCTTTACGACTAGCCTTCCCACAAGATTATTTGAGATTGCAGCAGCTGGTCCTCTGCAGAGCGGGCTGCCCTCAATAGCCTCATTTTGTAGAGTAGACACCTGGCTCTAATCAGCCACAGGAACACCATGTTAGGAAGCCCAAGGCTGCACTAAACCACAAACAGCCTCCTGTACTGGGACCAAAACCGTACTGTTAGTGGAGGCTGATTCGTGAATGAACGAAGCCACACTCCTTTATTCACAAATCTAACTT